TTCCAGTGCTGGTGGTTGGAATAAATCAATTCCAGTGCTGGTGGCTGGAATGAAGCTGCCAGACCTTGTTCCATCCATCAATTGCTCCAGACATCCCCTGCAATGCTCTCCTCCCCATCCCCTCCTCGTGCAGTGCTGATTTCCTGCTCTGCGTCGCTTTCCCCAGGCCAGACACCAACCCCTGTGCTCTGGGCTGTTCCCTCGCTGTGTGTTTGCTGCTTTAAATGGTTTTTATTGGTTTTTTTTTGTTTTGTTTTGTTTTTTTTTCTGGTCTCCCTGACCCCTGTGTCCCCTGTGTCCTTTGCAGTGAAGCTGCTGCCCACGCCGTAGCCACGCTGGCCGAGGCCACCCTGCAGGGAGGGGGACAGATTGTCCTGTCTGGGGAAACTGCAGCAGCAGTTGGGGCACTCACTGGAGTCCAGGATGCCAATGGTAAGGCCTTTGCAAAGTTTTTATTTTGGTTTTATTTGATTTGATTTTTTGGTATTTTTTTTTTAATTTATTTAGGCTCTTCAAAACGGCTTTTTCCTCTTTTTTTTTTTTCTTGGTTTGGGTGGTGAAATATTCCTCCCTCACTCAGGGGGTCACTGAGTTGTGAGTTGTAATCTCAGGGTGGAATGGGAGCTTGTGGTGGTTTGGAAAGGTTTTTCTGAAGTTTTTACATAATGATCAAAATTTCGTTCTACTTGCTGTGACATCAAAACCACAAAAAAAAAAATTTCTTATAAAAAAATCCCCATAAACAACGGAAAAAAGTCTCCTCTTCCAAATAAATTAGTGAAAAAAAAAATTTAAAAAATAATAAACTACATTATTTTCAGTATCAAAAAAAAAAGCATGTAAAAAAATAATCTAATTATTTATTCTAATAATAAAATTTCTCTTTATGCCATTTAAAATTAGACCTATTTTACCTTCCTCTTAATCCTATCCCACAACAAAAATAATTTCAAATTAATAAACCAGAACCACTGCAGAGCATGAACTCCTTGTTGGCTCCCATGGTGCTGGTGGCTCTGCTCTTTCCCTCCTCTATATCCTTAATTTTTTTTTTTTTTTTTGGGAAAAACTGCTCTGTGAAGTTTGTCTGTGCCCAGCACAAGAGGGTTCAGCCTTGATCAATTAACACAATTAATTGGTGCCATCATAAACTCATCTCCAAAACTCTTAAACCAACATTTTATAACTTTTTTTTTCCTGCCCTTTTCAGGGCTTTTTTTTTTTTTTTTTCTGTGCTTGGTGGCTGCTCCTGAGTGTCAGCCTTGAATCATTTTTGCTCCTTTTTCATTTTCCATCATCCCACCAAGGAATCTCTGGATTCCAGGGATTCTCTGCAGCATTTCTCACCTGTTCTGTCTCACCTGTTCTCTCCCTTCTGCCAAGCCTGGTGACCTCTGCAGCTCTTGAAATAAAACTGCAAATCTATAAAATGATGAAATGAAATGAAATGAAATGAAATGAAATGAAATGAAATGAAATGAAATGAAATGAAATGTAAAAATGTGCCTGGCTGGGGCTCATCCACTGCCCCCAGTTGCTGTGTGCTTGTGGAGGTGTTGAGGGAACATCTGGAGGTGTTGAGGGAACATCTGGATGTGGCATTGATGCTCATGGGTTGGGTTTGGTGATGCCAAAAATCTTTTCCAGCCTCACCCTGGGATCATATCCAAGCTCAGGCTGGATATTGTGGAATGACACAAGAAAAATCCCACAGGTTATTGAGGAATATTCAATCTCAGGCTGTTTTTTATGGAATGACACAAGGAAAAACCCACAGGTTATTCAGGAATATTCAGGCTGGTTTTTATGGAATGACCCAAGGAAAAACCCACAGGTTGTTCAGGTTGGGTGGAAGGAGTTTTGTCAAAATCAGCTGGAAAAGGGCACGAAGGGTGAAGCTGTAAAGAAACTTGAAGTTGTGAAGTCGTTGTCACCTCGAGGGACACGAATTGTCAAGGAGGGCTCCGGCACGTGTGGCTGGGTGGCAGAAATGTCATTTTTTTTTTAATGCAAGCAGAAAGCTGAGAGCTGAATTCCATCACCATCCTCATCCAGCGCCGGGCTCACGGCTCGGTGTTGAGTTTGCAGCAGAGCAGGGAGGAGGAATTTCCCCCGGAGCTGGTTCGGTTCCCTTGCTGTGGAGTCAGCCAGCCTGAAGAGGGAGCAGAAATGCAGAAAATGCAGGAAATTCCCTGTCCCCGGAGCTGGGAATGCAGCACCGTGGTTGTGAGAAGTGCTGTGTGTTTATCAGAGGCAGCATCCGAGCCTGGATGCTCAAAACCAGCAACTGATGAGATTTGGGGGAGCAGCTCTGCACCCCTTTTGTGGCTCCTTTTACTCTGCTTCCAAAATGCTTTCCTGGTCTGGATTCCTCTGGATGTTTCCCCTAAAACTCCCCCTCTCCACTCCCTCCCTGAGTCACTCCACCTCATTGACATCATTTTAATACAGGCTGGGCTTTTTTTTTTTTTTTTTTTTTTTTTTTTTTTTTTTTTTTTTTTTTTTTTTCCCTTCCTAGCAGCCGAGTCGGTAAATCAGCTGGGATTTAGAGTGCATTAAGGGGAGAGGCTGCAGCATTTTCCTGTGAGCAGAACCTTGCCCACAGCCCCTCTCCTGCTTCCCAACTCTCCTTCCATTTGCTCTAATCTCCTCTGGTATTAAAGGGGAAGGCTTTTGGAGTCCTCGGGAGCTCCATGCTGTTGGTTCCTTATGTAACCAGCTCATTCCTGCCCCTCGGGGATGGAGGAGATGTTGGGATCCATTGCTGCTGCCAGCAGGATTGATCTCCAGAGCTGGGCTGGCACTGGGAGCATCCTCCTGGACACCATTTGGATTTGGATTGATTTAGGGAAAATAATTGCCAGAGCCAGAATGATCCTAAGCAGCAAATTCCCCCCTTCTCGCTGCTGTTTGCAGTTTGCTGATATTCCCAAGAAATGCATTTCTCTGGGAATGCTCTTCTCCTTCTGCAGGGAAAAAAAAAAAACCTATGTGGAAGGGTAGGATAGAAATTGATCTCCATCTCTTTGATAAGGTAAAGGAGATTGTTTGACACCTCCCCATCCCTGGGAGTGTCCAAGGCCAGGTTGGACAGGTTTGGAACAGCCTGGGATGGTGGAAGGAATGAAATGATCCTTAACTCACATCCAACCCAAAGCATTCTGTGATTTCTGTGAAAATTTCTGGAGGTCAGGCGAGGTGTTTCATTCCTGATTTTAGCCATGAAGTGCAATTACTCTCTTTTATTTTATTTTTTTTTTCATTTGTTTCTCTCTCACTGTGGCGTTTTCCCCATCCCTTCTCTGCAATTATCTAAATAACAATAACAACACAAACCAACCAAGATGGGGAAAAAGAGGAAATATTCGTGGACATGTTGGAATCTAGGGCTGGATCTCTTACAGAGAGCCCAGGAGTGAGGATAACCCTGTGATCTGCTCCATTCCCAGCTGAAGGAAACAAGATCTGCTGCTGCCATGCAGTGTCACACCAGCTGAGTGCTTTATGGTTTTCCTGCTCCTCCAGAGCATCTGCTCCGAGTGGGGATGCAGGAACTGCTGACCCCACACTCGGAGGCTCAGATGGTTTTGTTCTTAAGTGGTTGGTATTGAACAGAGGAGGATGGAGAGCAAGGGAAATGCTGTGCTAAGAGGAAACTCTGTGCCCTGGAGCTGCTTTTGGAGCAGTGGAAGGAGCAGTGCTGGTGCTGGAGCATCCTCCTCCTCCTCCTCCTCCTCCTCCTCCTCCTCCTCCTGCCTTTGTTTGAGCCGTGGGGGCTCTGAGAGCTGCCAGGGCTTCCCGGCTGCATGCTGAAATATTGATGAGGCTCCTGGCTGGGCTGTGCCTGTGCTGGGCTGCCTGGGAGGCCCAGAGCAGCTCCCTGCCCTGGGAAGGTTTCACAGCCACCAAGCCAGGGGTGTTTTGGAAGGTGGGATTCAAACCAGGGCACGGGATGGGGCACAGTGGGAAAGAGTTGGGATGGAAGAAGCTGTGGAGGATGTGGGGTCAAGCCATAACCAAGGAATTCATTTCACAGAGATCCAGTGGATCCTGCTTGTCCCCCCTCTTTTCGTGTCCCCAAAACAGATTTTCCTGCTGGAGATGCTCCAGGGGGACACTGACAGGAGTCCTGCCCTTCTCCATCCCCCCCCCAAAAAAAATCCAATCCCCCAAAAACCCAGTCCCTGCTGTCCACACAAGCCCAGGTGTTCGGGGCTGGGCTGAGGCACGATGTGGGATGGAGAGCATTAGGGTTTGACGTGGGCAGGGAGGGATTGTGGAGCTCTCACCAGCACCAGAGCAACTCCTGCAGCCCAGAGGATCCTCCAGCAGCCTTTGGGGTGACAGTGCCACACAGATCTGCTGCCCCAGCTGCTGATTTCAGTGTGGGAAGAGGTTTAAAAGCTGCAAAATCTCCCCACACCAAGGCAGCAGGTGGGAAATGGGAAGGCTCCTGTCACAGCTCCAGGCTGGAGCTCTGTACCTGCCTGTCCCACCCCTGCCTCTCCGAGGGGCTGCTGGCACTTGGAAACACATCCAGGAGGGAAAGGCAGCACTGGGATCCTGTTCCTTGCCCCGTGTGTGTCTCCCAGGGAACACAAACACAGATGGGAAAAGCCAGCACAGCTTTGGGATCCCTCGGGACAGGGACGTTCCACACCCAGCCAGTGGGACCTGGTGGCTTTTTCACATCGGCAAAATATTTATCAATTTCCTGGGGGTGGGGGGGGGAGGCTTAGGGGCTGCAAATGTCACTTTTTTAAAAAAAGCAGAGGTTGATGGTTTTCCTGTTGGATCTCCTTTTTAGGGAAGATGGAGCCAAATGAGTCGCTAGCAGCTTGGCAAAGTGCAGATCAGCATGTTTGCATCCAGGAGGACAGGAAGGAAAGAGTCAAGCTTTTTGTAGGGCCTCCCTGGTGGGAACAGAATTTTTTTATGAAGGTTTACCCTGAAACAGGTAGGATTTAATGCCAATCTGAAGGAAAGGTGAGGAAAATCGTTTTTGCAGGTGTGTTTCAGATGAGAGGGTAGAAGAGGTGCCAGTGGCAGCCAGCAAGGAGAGCAGAAGAGAATTCCTGGGTTGGCAGCTCCAGGAACAGGGAGAGATGTTTCCTGGAGAACAAATTGCTGATTATCAATGAATAATTATCAGCAGCAGTGCTGTTGGGCTCTGAGTGAAATACCTTGGCATAAACCTGAGTTAAAAAGAATTTAATTTGGGTCGGGGTCTCTTCTCCCACGGAACAGGAGACAGGAACAGAGGAAACGGCCTCAAATTGCATCAGGGGAGGTTTAGGATTTTAGGACAAAATTCCCTCACTTGTCAGGCGTGGGAACAGGGCAGGGGTGGAGTCCCCATCCCTGGGGACATTTCAGAGCCCTGTGGATGTGGCACTTGGGGACACGGGGTCGGGCTCTGCTCCCAGGGAACAGGGACAGGAGG